AATAAAGGTAAATGGTTTCATTCCCATTTTCAATAGCTGTCAGCGCCTCCAACTTTTAGACTCTTCCCGCCCATGGTTTGGTCTTTATTGCCTGATGATGGCAAATAAATCAGAAATGACCCACCAGCCTAGCTCGCTTTCGCACGTATTATTTTGACGTGTATTTTGTCCGAATTTGCCGAAAAACGATAGCGCGCAGTTATGATGAGCGACTGACAATATTGTAAGATGCACAGTCAATCAACTACTTCTACCAAAATTGGGGAAAACTTATAGGCGTCACCTAAAACCCGTAGGCGGAAAATAAATACAGTTTAGCCAAGGGTCAAAGATCGAAACAGATTCATCACTAAATTCAAGTTGTGACTATTTAATTAGTTCCATAACTCTCCGAAAAAACGCCCTTGATTTAAGTGGAAGATAAGCTAGGCTGGTTGGATATCTCTCAGATCATGAAAAAAGTCTTACTTACAAGTTTAAGTAAGCTTTTAAGATGCGATTACACTTCTGATAAATGCAAAGTACACGGTATATAACGAACCGGCTAGAAAATATCTAAACAGTCATCCTGAGATGAAATATATCGCAATCAGCAGTTTTATAAAGGTACTGCGCACCTCCTTGCGCATTTCGTTATATAATGAATGACTGCATTCATGAAATATCTAGAAACGGGCGGCTTATAGGCAATAACGCATAAACGCTTCAGACCTAACCCCGGAAGCCTTAAATTAAAATCTGAACGGCCTGAACCAAAGTGGATTAATTGTTTCGGATATAGGCCACCAACTGATTCATTAGAGAGAAAAAAATACGGAACCTGGAGCACTTTTATTCGGAATAACTTTAAAACAGGCGCAAACAGACGAATTTTCGGATGCCATAATATTTTGGTTTGGCTTATTTCACTATAAAATGGATAGCACTTAAAAAGTGCATAGTAGTTTGTTCAGAATCTAAATGCACAGCACCATAATTCGGAATTTATATTCTAAGCACTGAAGGTTGTCATCTAAACAAGGAAAGAGAAAGGAAAAGAAGTGGTAAAGTAAGGTACGAAGAAGAGTCCTTAACATATATGCCTAGGGGTTACCAAAACAGGTTCAGGTTGTTACATTTTATTACATTTTGCAATCTAATATGTGCCTCTCTGCATGTAGGCAAATGTGCTTATACATAGAAGAGTGGTTGTTTTAGTTTTCTCTTTGAAACAACCATTCCTAAAGTTGCTCAAATGACAGGGATATCAGCGACCTTTGCTTTCGCCAAGGCTAATGTCCCATCAAGTAAACCAAAAAGACCTGAACGCACTTTTATTTGGCCTGAAATGACAAGACATCACTCTTTTGCATTTCGTAATTGTTATGCTAATCCCAGGCTTTTGCACACCATCCTACTTGCTTTTCCGTTTTCTATCCGATTTTAAAATGAACGTTTTGGCAGTGATTAGATAATATTCTTTAAAGCATGAGCGTGCTGCTTCATAGATATTTTCTGGGATAGTGCTCCTCCTTATTCATTCCTGAATCTCCATCTTATGGAGGGACAGGACACATTTGAAGTGCAGTCATTTATACCAAATCAGTGTACTCTGTATAATCGAATGACCACGTTAGCAATAATGCGTGAAGTACATGAAAAAGTTAGTCTGACATATTGCTGACCACTTTGCCCTCTTTAGTTTACGGTATGCCGATGTGTACTAAATCAAAGTATTTTGCACGCTCATATCCAGCAAAAAACAGCCATTTAAGGAATGAGAGGCCGAAGACGAGCGCAAGTCGCCACTAGGACACACTGGACATAGGATGTTTATTAGACCTTCATTGGTGGAAATCTCGAGGAGCTATTAGAGTATATAACAGCATAAGTAAGGATAAAGTCATTACGGCCACCTTACGGAGACAACCTATACTACTGTCCTAATAAATACGAAGAACATCTCTCGGCGGTTATGTGGAAGGACATTCACAGGGTGCGTGTTTGATAACTTGGAAACTTTCATTTTGAGGATGGAGACTCGAAAGACCTTCGATGGCCACTAGTTGATCACACGGAAGCTATAATTATAAATTTGGCAACAGCAGTTTAAGTTGTGCACCTCATATACACCTACTCCCAGCATTTTGTCCTACTGAAACGGTGTTTATAGGGGTTTTATGGGCGGAGAATCAGGATAGGCCATGAAATATACTTTAATAGATTTTATAAGCATTATTTTATTGTATTTATAAATTTTGTCGATTTATATCTGCAGATTTTCCTAATCTTCATTATTACCTCTGAATTACCGCATTGCGGGAAATCCCTATTATGAAAATGCAGGTTTTCTGAAGTTTTCCTGAAAAAAATAGAAGTAATGGTGAGAAGGTCGTTTACTTCAAATTACCTGGGGCCAAACTTACCGTTCTGGAGTTATATAAGTGTAGTCCGTCGCGCAAATTGCCGCGCAAACCTCCAAGTTACTTGCAGAACAAATTACTCTTAGCCGTCTTAGGAAACAAATTCAACTATATTTTTCACTTTAAACTTACGTCTACAAATTCCACTCACTGCCTTTGCTATTGTCCCACCCCAAAACCCCTAGAACCATCGCCTCCTTAGGAAAAATTACTGGAACTAGCGGTATATGACGTGCACTACGTGAATTGCCCCTGCCATAAGATTTAATTAAAAAGGGGTTAAATTTGGAAGACACTGGTCGTAACAGAATCATCTCAGAGTTGTCAGCTGAGGATATAGTTGTACACATGATAGGGTAGATTTATGTACTTCGAGCGACAGAGTACCCAGATGTAATCCACAGTTTATTCAAAACTGTCCCACTTGAAAATTATGTTATATGTTTCAGTTGGTCCAGTATAATTGGAATAAAGACAAGACAACACGATAAGTGCACATGTAGAAGCATGGTGGCTTGCGAAGCAATTTCCAGAACAGATGGAAACTACATAAAAGAGCCTTCCTTTCGTCAAGGTTCTTTAAAGCTATTTCTGCTATTGAATTAAAATCACATTCAGATGGTCCTTGAAATTTCGGCGAAGGATTTCCTGTATTTTCAAAGGTTCCTCGGTAAATTTAGATTAATTTTGGTATTTTTTTTCCAAAACCTTCAAAATAAGATAATTCTTAAAAGCACTTAGTGAAGAAGTGTTTCTGTTGACATTATTTTTTATGGAGATGGATGCTTGGGTGGAACTTTTAGACACACTCAAACATGACATCAGTTTGGAGAGAAAAACGCAATCGGCGACAAAAGTAAGATATTAGTATTCTCAGGAGCAATAAGAAATATTTCCGTAATAAGGTAACTCATTAAAAGTCAATTTGATTAAGCATCGGGATAAGTAATATCTGTGTAAGGTACCATTTTCATTGTAGCATCAAAGTAAAACTGGGAGACTTCGATCGGTCTTCTGATTGTCTTGAAAACTATGATAAAAGTTCTGTTCTTAATGGAAGAACTCACTATTCTCTTAATAGTGGGAAATGTTTCTATATTGCTTAATTTCAGAATCAGATTTTAATGCTCAACAGGATGGCCGAAGGTCTTACAATTTTAAGAAAACAGTCAAGCTTTTGATCGTTTCGGTAGAAGCTGCATTAAACCAAAGGAATCTTGATAATAGAAGCGAACAGTTGAGTTCCGGGATGCCGTTCAAAAGTAGCATATAAGATCACTGTGACAGAAGTACCCTTCTAATTGCTGCAAATGCAATACGGATTGCCTTCGGCGTTCATCTTCAGGGTAAAATACAGTGTTTCCTTCATGATCCCCAAAGGTCGCGCGAGCAAACAAGTTTATTAGTACGTTTTGTAGCAAAAAACTTCAGACATTGGAAAAAAGTAATTCTTCAATCTGACGTTTTTCCTTTTTTGGGTTAGCAGTTTGAATACTTACATATGCTTTCACCTGATTTTCATTTACTAAACGTCAGATATTCAGGTTCCTGTTTATATTAATGATCTTTTATAGTCTAATGCAGAAAAATAAAAGGCTCCGTTGGGCTAT